GGTTTCCCTATATTTATTTATTTAAAAATCGCAAGCTTACAAATCATTGCAGTATGAACTTCATTTTATATTTGTAAACTTGATAGCTGACATTTCTTTCCTATTTCAGCTATAAAGTCACATATGGGTTTTCAAGCATCTTTCCTGCAGCGATTCTTGCTTTTGCTAGTTACAGAACAATAAACATCCCTGTTTATGAGTGCTGATGAGATTCAGAATTCTCTTCTCCTCTCATTGTTCCTGCTGTGAAATGATTGCCTATTTAAAGTCACCCAAATAGAGACTGATTGCTATTATGAACAGAGCAGGCTATTCATAGAAATAACCTTCATTCTCACCATCCTGGGTAGCAGTGAAAACTGCATCCTCTATTGTAGAAGTCAGTTGTGACTCAACCCCATCCTGTCCCAGGCACTGAATGCTTTACTTACTTGCTCGTTTGTCATTTAACCACTTAACCTATCAACCATTCAGCTCTGTATCCCCTTTCAGATGTAGCTATTTGACATTTCCAGGCAAAACACATCTTTTGCTTGGTATTCATTAGTGTCTATCAAACTGTACCTTTTTTTATGTAAAAAAAAAAAAAAAAAAAAAGGATATCCAGGCATTTGTGGAGTATGCCTTTAGCACGCCTTTAGTCCTAGCACTCAGGAGGCAGAGGCAGGCTGATCTCTGTGAATTCGAGGCCAGCCTGGTCTACAGAAGTAGTTCCAGGCAGGCTCCAAAGCAATACAGAGAAACCCTGTCTCGAACACCCGCCTTCCAAAGAAAATAAGGATGTGCTGAGATAGAATGCTGAAAACAGACATGTTTCTTCTTGGGAATGAACAAATGGCATCAGTGGGTCTTCCTAGAATGAAGCCTGTGTCTTTTAGGAGCTAAATGATTCTCTGACAAGATAACAAATTGATTGATTTTTATTTTTGAGGAAAGATTTACAGAGAATTTTTTTCCTCAGATGGACAATTCAGAAAATGTGAAAAGTTAAAAAAAGGAAAGAGATCTGAAAGTTACTTTAATACAAATGGATTCCAATAATCAGTGTGGACATGCAGTTCTGAGATATCTTTAAAAAACATCTCTTCCTTGACTGACATATATTTGAGATAAGTGTTATTATTCTGAATGGGAAAATAGTTTTAGACTTCCTTTAGAGTCATATATAGGACAAGTTAAAAATATCACAGAAATGTATTTGTTACATTTGTAACATTTTCACTTCTTTTTTGTGTTTAAATAAATAACAAAGTAGGCACACTGCACTTAAATTTATGCTCACATTTCTTTTCTTAAAAAACAATATTTGAAGCCAAGTCACAGGGATTATTTTGTTAACTGAATGCTTATTTTTTTTGAATAGTTAACTTTGCAGTTCACTCTATAACAGAATGAAGGTATTTAGTATCTGTGCTCAAATGGACAGAAATTTATGTTTAAGAGTTTTGAGTATACATGAGTTTAGCAGGACAAGAAGAATGTGCAGAGGTGAGGAGATTCTTATATTAGAAGCATAAAATCTAGCATCTGCATGCCTTCAGTTCCTTTATGTGTATAATGGGATGGAAATATTGAGATAATTTATATGTCAACTTGACAGGACCATGGTACCTTGATACATGAAAAAACATTACTGGTGTGTTTTAGATGAAAAGTACAAATGCATTATAAGAGCAAGCAAAGCAAGTTGCCTCTCCCAATGGTGGTGGGTCACTGAGTTGGCAGGTCTCCAGAGCCTAAATTTTTGAACTTGAATATTTGCCTTTTCCTGTTTTCACATAGGAGACTGAAAACCGATTTCTTTGAGTCTTGTGCTTGCTGCTTTTGGATAAGAACTTCTCTAACTCATCCTTGGTTGGCTTTTCTGGTTATCTCTTTGCTGGCTATAAAGACCAGGGCTTTCCCCCCTCTATTATATCATGAGCCAATTCTTAATATGTTTTCCATCTATGTATACATGTTATTGGTTTCTGTTATAGAAAACTGTGACTGTTCCATGTGGCAGTGTCTTTGCCCTTATCTATTCGGTATTCTCCTTTGCCCATCTTCTGAACATGACATAAATCAATATGCAACCAGTAATATCTCATTGCAGTTATTACAGGGAAATTGCAAATCTACATCATACAATATCCCCAAATATTGGTTAACTATCCCAGACCAATAGTCTCTTTTTCCCAGAGATTCTCAGACAATAAAGTAAATGTATTTCAAATAATTTCAAGTTAATATTTTATTAATAGTATATTTTTCCTAACTTAGAAATGGAAACAATGAATAGTTATTCACATAACTACTCTGAGCCCATAATCAACTAAACCATTAATGATTTTCAAGTAGGGGAACTTTAGACTTGATGTTGCTCAAAGTTGAAGATACTGTTTTTTGTTAACTGCAAGTAACAAAAGAATTTTGACTCAATAGGAATATTGTGCAATAATATTTCCCTTCAAGAGTTCTTTTTGATGTCATATGTAGAACACTATTCTTTATATGGTTCTAGCTAGGTAGCACTGGTTGATATGAGGTCAATACAGAGAACTTTTGTAATTCTCACATGGCATCAGACCATTTCTTTTAGCTTTAATCAAATATGTCAGCAGAGATTCCAGTGTGCCCTTTAGTGCATGTTTTATTCTATCTTAATTTTGAGAAAAGATACAAACAAACTTTCCATCCCCAAGAAAGCAAGAGCATTTTGCTAGCTTGAGTGTAGCTCATAGCTTGTCAATAATTCCTAATCTGTATTGCTACTACATACACTGCAGAGAGAGCTGTCAGGAACAAAAAATAACTAGATTGAACATTTTGTTAGCCCAGAATAGTTAGGGTGACGTATAGTCCAGGAAAGAGTGAAGAATTGAGCCCTTTGAGGCTAGCATCACTTCCTCCAGAGCTATGTAAAGTGCTGGCCATGCTCACTCTTCCTAAGGAAGCTGAAATTGAGTAGGAATTCTTGGGTGTTTATACTTTAGCCTTCTCCTACTGTTGAGCTATAAAGTTTTGAAAATTATTGAGTTCTGGAGAAACAAGTTCAGTATGCTTAGGTTCATTCACTGATTAATGTGATCAATATCCATTGATTGTTTACTTTGTGGCAGCCATTGAACTGGTATTGGTATGTCATTCCTAGTTTCATGAAGCATACACTGGAGAGAAGAAGGAGCTTGATGACTTCAGACAATCACATGAATACCTGCAGAGATATACACCATAGAAGAGCTCTTACAGAGGGGAGTATGACCCAATTAGGAATGTCAGAGAAAGCCTAAGGAAGTGAAGATACAAGAGGAATGGGAAGGAGTTTGTTGGGGCTAACAGAGCAAGCAGAGGAAACAGTATGGATTCCACTTCAGCTCTTTTGAGAAGCTGTTATCACAGCTTACTGCAAAAGCTTAAATAAGTTAAAATAAAGTTAGTTCAGAGGTTAAGCTGCTGATTAAAGAAGAGTGTGTTGGTAGGAAGGAAGAAAACGTACCACTCAGGAATTCAGTCTTCTGCAATGTAATTTTATTTGAGCTGACCCTGTTACTATAGGAAACTAATTAACTTTTCTGTTCCCTGGTTGCTTTTCTGCAGGGTGAAGATAATAGTGACCCACTAATAGCAATGAAAAGCCTCCTATAAACATCAATAACTATCTAACTAATATAAGTACTTGTATATTCTGTTGTAAAATCTAGCCTTTAACTCAGAATTTAGAATCTTTTCTCTGCATAAATCATGTTAGATTTTACTTTTTTTGTCAAATATTGGTTTTTGTGTGAGAAAGCTCATGTTTATCTTCATATGCAGCCAAGCTGGTGCTCATTGACAATGCATTCTCTAATATGTATTGTTCAGTCAGAAGTATGCTGAATCCTAGATACTCATAAAGATTTCCATAAGCAGTGAATGGTTTAACAAAGTCCTGGGGCAATGAGCATAGAAGAAAAGTAGTATGGTTTGGGATGAGGTAGGTTGGAAGAATAGATTATTTTCACTGTCCTTCAAATCACAATTCTTCTTGCCTGTTAGAAAAGTTTATGTTTCAAAGCAGCCTTACAGACTACAGCCAGGATTTCTGCATCTTCTTAGAATCCCCCATGACAGCGCCCCTTACCAGCAGGAAGTAGTTTGGAAAAAACGATGCCCTAATTCCCAAATATTGTCTATAAATGTTTGTTTTCATTTAAATGGACTTGGTTATATAAAATAAATAAATAAATTAATTAAAAAAAGAAAAGTTTATGTTCTCACTGTTTCATACACCCATTGCAATTACTGCAACTGTAGCTAAGCAATTCAACTTGAATCATCAGGCACATAACACCATGCCAAGCTGCAAAATGAAGGCACTCTTAGCTCTCTCTCTCTCTCTCTCTCTCTCTCTCTCTCTCTCTCTCTCTCTCTCTCCCTGTCTCTCTCTCTCCCTCTCTATGTGTGCACACGCATGAATTTGTAGGTTCACCTTTAAACTTAAATCTCGGTGATATTTCAAGTCATTTTATGCACACTATTTATAAAACTATTCTTTCAGTGGCAAACAGAGTGCCTGTTTCTTTAATTGTCTTTGGCTATCATGCTGTTCTTTTTCTACCAAAGAAATCATAATTAGCCTTCTGGAATACTATAATGCTTACAGAATCAAAATAGTGATTTCTTCATGAACTTGGAAAATTATTTTTAAAACCTATAAGTCTAGTAAATATGTGGGCTGTTTCCATGATGGTAAGATGTCTCACATATGTGGCAGCCTGTTTGTGTGGGTGTGTGAGTTTGGCATACAGCCAAATGGGGGCCTGGACATTGGTTAGTAGTCATGGATGATCAGTGAGGCGAAATGAACTGCTGGATGGAGTTAATTGTTCATTTCTCATCTAGTTTCCTAGGTAAGGTTCTGATGTGGTTGTGGTTTGCTTAACTCCCTGCTTAACTAAAGAGGGAAATAGAACCCTCACTCCCCCCTTTCCTGCTGCCCGAACAACATCTCCTTGCTATGTGCTTCATGAAGTTCTTACCTGAATGGCCTTTCTTCCTTAGTCCTGGTTTGCTCAATCTCAGACATTGTTCCAGTGGGTTCTGATGAACACTCAGAGTCAAGATCTGTGCTGAAATCTCTGAAGGAATTTTCCTCAGTGATGTTGTCTATGTTAAAGAAATTATATTAAATAGAAAAACATGAAACACCCTTGACACACTTTTATCTGGCAAAAATTTACTGGAGATGCTGATTCTCTTTCCATAAAAATTTTCCAGGAGGACTCCTCACACAGGAGGGCTAAACTGGAGATACTGCCAGACCAATGAAAAGTATAGTAAAATTTTGTTTACTACATTACAAAAGTTTCAAATGGTATATGCCTTGTAATAGCAACAAAGCAGAGAATGAGCTCTAGGCACTCAAAAGGTGATGTTGGGTTTATTACAGTATTCATGATTCATGACTAAAATCAATTCACGATAGACTCATTAAAGTGAAAAAAGCAGTCATTTTATGTCCTTGGCATTAATGTAGAATTCACATTCTAATTTTTATGAAATCAAATTTCTAAATTTGATTTGATTATCTTTCTATAGAAATAACACCAACTAGTATATAATAGCTCTAATTTCAATTCAGAAATATTTTTTTCCATCAGATCTATAAAGTATGACTCTAATTGAGATTAAGAATTGCTATTTGCTCAGAGAATAATCACCTCATTGGTAAGTAACTGAATTATAGAAGTTAAAGACAGTAAATAGTTAGATATTAAAATTAATTATAAAATATAAAAAGATAAATTTGAATGCTTGTTCATTATCCAAAGTAATTTATTTTAAGCAGATGTACTATACTTGGGAAATTGTAAACAAGACTCAATCATCAATATTATTGTTTTGCAATAGATCAGGTGGTGAGGGGGCAGGAAGATACAGTTTAGGGAGGTGTAATCAGACTTTTATTTGTCTATCAGCTCCCATTTAATCATTTAGAGACTTATTATTAATTATAGAAGTTTGTTCTTTTTCTTGGGCTTCTTTCCAACTTGCTCCTATAACTTAAAAATTAAACTATTTTACTAATCTATATTTTTCCAAGTGGCTCATTACCTTTCCTCCATAATGTATGTTTGCTTCCTTCTGTGTCTTTCTGGTGGCTCGTATGTGCCTAGATTCATCCCAGAGTCCCTCTCTCTCCCCCTAGAAGTCCCACCTATTATCTTCTGCCTAGCTATTGTATATTCAGCTTTTTATTAAACCAATCAGAAGGTGCTTTGGCAAAGGCACATCTTCACAGTGTATAAAATGTTTATGTCACAATAGGGAGGCAATGTAGGGAGACAGCTATAATTGAGAGGTAGAGGGAAACCTAGTGCAGTGGAAATCTACTAATATTGGAAGGTGATCCAAATGTACAAATAATGGGGGGATGGAATCCCAGTTGGACTTTTTTTTTTGTCATGAAACTAAACATCTAGTACCTGAACTGGGTTCCATCCAATTGAGTTGTTGGCCAAAGAGTTCCCATGGAGATCCCAAACAAATCTATAATATTGGCAAGACAATGGGTTGCTCTCCACAAACTGATGGCTTGGCTCCATTGCTGGAGACAACATCCACTTGAGTCATTAAACATGCAGAGATAGAGCTGGTCCATGTATTGAACCTTTATCCCTACACCCTAGTGTCTTTGGTACAGGAAGGTACTCTGAAGGGTACCAAAAGAGAAATATAAATACTAATTTAGACACAAACTCTTTGGTCTACAGTGGCTTTATTCTTGCAAAATATGCTAGGGTAATGGTAGCACAAAGCTTGTAAATAGCCAACATCTGAATTGACTTAAGGCTCACTCTATGAGATGGAATCTATACCTAACACTCCTTGGTGACAAAAAACAAAAACAAAACAAAACAAAACAACAACAAAAAAACCCAAACCAAACCAGCCAACCAAACAAGCAAAAAAACAAAAGAAAACAAAACAACAACAACAAAAACAAAGATTAGACAGCCCATAGTGCTAGTGTAAAACCAAATACTACTGGTTAAAAAAAATATTAGTGTCAAATATTATTCTTCTATACTCATAGATTAGTGCCTTATTCAGCCATCATCAGAGAATCTTCCTCCTACAGCAGATGGAAACAAATACAGACACCCACAGCCAGACATTATGGAGAGAAAGAGAGAGATCTTGGAATACAGAGCTCTAAATGGGATGCTCCCATAATATTCCCCCTCAGAGCAAAGGGAACCTTTTGGAAGAGGAGGTAGAAAAAGTATAAGAGCCAGTGGAGAAGGATGAAACCATGAAAGCAAGGCCCTCTAAATCAGCATGAACAAAGCTCATATCAACTCACAGAAACTGAAACAGTAAGCACAGGTCTTTCCCAGGTCCTCTCTGTACATATTACAGCGTTCAGTTAGCATTTGTATGGGACTTTTGAGTGTGTCTCTAATTCTGGCACCTTCTCCTGGGATTTTTCCTTCTGTTGGTTTACCCTGTCTGACTTTGATGTGATGGCTTTTGTTTTATCTTATTATATTTTATTGTGTTATGTTTTTGTTAACCTTTACAAAACTGTTCTCTTCTGAGGAGAGACAGAAAGGGATTAGATCAGGTTGGGAGTGGATGTGGAGAAGAACAGGGAGGAGTAGATGTGGGAAAAATTGATATCAGGATATGTTATATGAGAAAAGAATCTATTTTCAATAAAAGGTAAAACAAACCAACCTAATATTAAAAATATAGATGTATAAAATTGATAGATCAGGAGTGATCACATTGTAAAAGTTTTTATTATAAAGACCTTTAACATAAAATTTTCAATGATTCCTCAAAATCTTCCAGTGCAATAAGTCTTCAGAAATATGTTTCAGGAATAAAAACTGAGTCACTGCTTACAATTTCTAAAAAGTTTGTGGTTAAGAAAGCTTGAGTTTCTGACTTTCCCAGGTGACCACTTTTATCCTAGATTTATAGTACTTTTCTACGAGATAGAAAAATATGGTACTAAATATATTCTCATTATGTTTAAATGGACTCTCCAAGTGTTTACATTATTTTGAGTGCTAAAGAACACCAGTGTAATTACAACTGTGCAAGGACCATCTTCTAGAAGAAACACTGAAATGTGTTGGAATTCTTCCCCAAAATTGCAGTGCAGCATGTTCTCTGTCCTGGTACACATGTATGGAATGTTAATTAATTCATCAGTAGCCAGTAACTTTCAGAGCAAAAGAACAACAGACACTTTTGGTGGCGCTGAACTGTGTTTGATAGAAGGATTTGTGCTCCCTATGTGTTTGTGTCAAGGCATGTTTTGTTTTAAGAGTTTTCTATATCCAACAGAAGAATTATTTGTTCCCCATACCTCCAGCATCATACCATATTATTCTAGTTGCCTAAAAATGTGGTAGCCTACCCTTTCTCATATTCATAATGGACAGAGTTACTGTATATTTCAAAGGAGAATTCTTAAGTCTCCATTTGTGTATGTGTAGTGCATTTATGGATTGGACACATTGAAGACTGAGTGTGTGCACACACACACACACACACAGAGTGACAGAGAAAGAGAGAGAGAGAGAGAGAGAGAGAGAGAGAGAGAGAGAGAGAGAGAGAGAGAACCTAAAGTTATCATGGCCTTTTCATAGGTGTCTGGATATAATAGTGTTTATAGGTCATTGTAAGTCCATTTATCTTTGTAGGAACACCTGTTTAAAAAAGACCACAAAAATATAACTTTAAATATGACTTCAAAAAGTTGTTAGTATTTAGCCTAGGCAGAATCTGTAAAACAGTGTGACAGTTGACTATTTCTTTTTTTAATGATAATTTTTAAATTTAGATTTGAAACAAGCTTGTTTTACATATCAATCCTAGTTCTCTCACCCTCCCCTCCACCCATCCCCCCTCAACCCCCATCACATTCCCTTTCTGATCCCCAGGGAGGGTAAGGCTTTACACAGGGGATCTTCAAAGTCTGTCATATCATTTGGAGCAGGGCCTAGGCCCTCCTCCATGTATCTAGGCTGAGAAAGTATGAAAGTATCCTTCTATGTGGAATGGGCTCCAAAAGTCCATTAATATACTAAGGATAAATATTGATCTACTACCAGAGGTCCCATTGCCCGCCTAGTTCTCCTAAGTAACACCCACATTCAGGGGGTCTGGATCAGTTCTATGCTAGTTTCCAAGCTATCAGACTGGGTGCACGAGTTCCCCCTTGTTCAGGTCAGCTGTTTCTGTGGGTTTCTCCAGCCTGGTCTTGACCTCTTTGTTCATCACTCTTCCCACTCTGCAACTGGACTCCAGGAGAAGAGGTTTTCTTTTATAATTAAGGGTTTATTTTTATTACGTGTATGTGTGTGTGTCTTTGTGAGCTGTGAGTGTATTCCACAAGTGTTGGGGTGTCTATGGAGGCAGAAGAGGGTGTTGGATCCCATGGAACTAGCGTTACAGGTCGTTATGAGTCTGACATGTGCTGGGAACTGAACTTACATCTTGTGGAATAGCAGCAAGCATTCTTAACCATTAAGCTATCTCTTTAGGTACAAACTCTTCCAAATCTACATTAGTATCTGCTATACCACATACATTTATAGCACAAGTACATATGCAGTATGGCTTTATGCTGGTAATAATAACATGATTTTTCTTTTTCACTAAGATCTTTATCAACAGCACATTTTGGATTATCCCTAAGTAGATCCTTATACCTTTGTATATCTTCCAGGGCCATTACCTCACCCTTCTAAAGTGACAGATTTTATGACAATACTAAGAGATTTAGGAATTAATTAAAGACTAACTCAATTTGTGGATACACCATTAATTATGAAACAAGTATTTTATAGTTTGTTGATGAAGATGAGAAGTCAGCATTACCTGTTCTTGAATTCAGAGTAGAACAACTTAAAGCAAATCAAGAGGATTAGAACAAAAAGGGTGCCTATCAACTGTGAGTAGTGAGGGTGTCTTTTTTATTCACACAGAGAGTTACTTGTGGGAACAGATGGTCAGAGTGTTTAAATAATCCTCATGAAAGAGAAATATAAAATATGGCAAATCTTGCTCTCAGATCTAGGGGAAGTTTGTCAACTGTACAGAGCTAAACAGTGAGCTGGTTGTTAGCTTCACACACAGACAACGGGTCA